ATAGAACTGGGGGATGGGGGAACATGGGGCAGGTGCTGCGGGGCTGGTATAGAACTGGGGACATGGGAGAGTGTGTGGCAGGGACTGTGGGTCTAGTATAGAGCTGGGGGGATGGGGGAGTATGGGGCAGGGGCTATAGGTCTGGTATGGGGGGCAGTGTAGGGGGGCAGGAGGAGGAGTCTGTGGGGGGGGGCAGTGTGTGGGGGCACTGCATGCAGGGGACAGGGCTGGCGTTCCATGGGGGGCAGCGTGCGAGGGGCAGGGGAACGGGTTCCGAGATGGGCAGCATGCAGGGGGCAGGGGGAGGGGTTCCATGGGGGACAGTGTGTGGGGGGGCAGGAGGAGGGGTGAGGTTCCGTGGGGTGCAACGTGCGGGGGACACAGGCAGGGGGAGGGGTTCTGTGGGGGACAGCATGCGGGGGGGCAGGGAAAGTGTTCCATGGGGGTCAGTGTGCGGGGGGACAAAGGCAGGGGGAGGGGTTCTGTGGGAGACAGAGGGAGTGGTTCCGTGGTGGCAGTGTGCAGGGGGCCGAGGAAAGGGTGGGGTTACGTGGGGGGTAGCATGTGGGGGGCAGGCGTTCCATGGGGCACAGGGGGCAGGGGTTCCGTGGGGGGCAGCTTGTGGGGGGGCAGGGAGCATGCCTCCCCCCCCCCCATACCTTGAGCACCAGGGTCTCGTCCATCTTGCGCTGCAGGCTGCCATCTAAGGCCTCCTGGGCCTGGTGGCGCGAGGCCGTGGCTTGGGCTGTGGCTGCCCTGAGCGAGGCCAGCACCTCCTTGGAGCGCAGGGTCAGGCACCGTGCCTCCTCAATGGCCGCCGCGCACTCTGGAGGGACATGGGATCAGAACTGCCTCAGTGAGGCTGGGCTCAAAAGTGGGGCGCAATCAAGGTACTCATGGGCTGTGGGGGGCTGAGTGGAGTGGGGGTCCCTGGGGGCACACAGGGGATGAGGGAGCTCTTGGGGGGCTGAGTGGGGGGTTGAGTGGGGTGGGGGTCCCTGGGAGTATGCATGGGCTGAGTGGGGCCGAGTGAAGGGTGGTCTCCAGGGATACACAGAGTCTCTGGAGGATCTGCGGGAGGTCCCTGGGATGGGGTGGGGCCAGGCCATACCTGGTGTGTAGGGCCCAACGGGGCTGGGCTCGTGAGCGGGGGCTAATGGTGGTACACAGGGGCTGAGGGGGGCTCTTGGAGGGCTATGGAGGGTCCCTGGGGTGGGGCGGGCCAGGCCATACCTGGCGTGTACGGCCCGACAGGGCTGGGCTCCGGGGTGGGGTTCCTCATTACGAAGGGGGACGGGGGACGACTCAGGCTGAGCCAGGACTCGCGCTCGGCTTCCAGCAGCACCATGCGCAGCGGCTGCCCCAACAGCTCCAGCACCTGTCCCCGCTCCTGGCACAGCATGCCCAGGGTTTGCTGGCACCTGCCCAACGCCTGGCATGGGAGACATGGGTCAGTGTGTTCCCCACACCCTCAAACCCCCACACCCGCCCAGCGCCTGGCATGGGGAACAGGGGTCAGTGTGTCCCCCACACCCCTCACTCCCCACATCCGCCCAGGGCCTGGCACAGGAAACACAGGTCAGTGTGCCCCCCACACCTGCCCAGTTCCTGCCAGAGAGCGCGCCAGTGTGAGTGCCCAGCTCAGACACAGCTGCGGGCAGAGGGACCAATCTCTGCAGCACCTCTCTCGGCACGAGACTGTGGAGGGCCCAGCAGGGCAAGGGGAAAACCATGGGAAGGGGGGTGGAACCTGGGCAGGGAGGGGTGGAAGGAGAGACGTGGGGCAATCCCTGGGATGGAGCAGAGTCCAGGGGCGAGGCGCCCTGACCGCAGGGCAGGCTGGCGACTGGTAGGCAAAGAGCATGGCGAGGGACAGAGCAGGGGACTCAAGACAGGCCAGCAGGGGATGGCCCGAGGGGGTGCAGGTTGGCTGAGCTGCTCCCTTTGGGATGGGATTTGGTGGGGGATGCCAGGGCAGCCCAGTGAGAGGGGCAAACGGGGAGACACCGGCAGGGACCTGGCACATCAGGTGCCCAGGGGAGGGGCCAGCGCCCAGGCTACGATGGGAAGATGCCCCAGTGGGTAGCATGGGCAGGGTAGACAGCCCCAACATCTCCATACGGGGTTCCCAGGCTGCGGCCCAGAGGGGGGTGGGCTCCCTGCCAGCCACCAGGGAGATGACAGTACTCATGGGCCTGACGTAGTGGGCTAAGGGCTGCCGGCGTCCCGCTAAGAAGAGTCCCCAGCTCCAGCACCTGGCCCAGTGCTCCAGGGGGTCCAGAGTGGGACATTGGACTGTGGGTTGCTGGGCTTTTCGGTGCCTGGGATGGAGTGCTGAGTACACTGCGGAGCCCAAGCCCCTGTCAGCAGGGGGCCCGGCAGAAAAAGGAGCTGGTAGCCCAGCCCCAAGGGGGCATGCTGGCAGGGATGGCAACCCCCCGACACACCTGCCCACCCCACTGCCAGATCGACCAGGCAGTGCCCAGCACCTGCCCTGACATCTAGTTGCTGTCTAGGCCTTTGGCCCCTGTCCCGGCCCCACCTTGAGGTGCGCCTCCGACATGTCCATGTCCCCCTGCAGCTCCACCTTCAGCCTCTGCAGCTCCTTGTGTTCCCACCGCAGCAGTGCGTCCACTTGGTCTGGGGCCTGCGCCGCGGGGGGGACGAGCAGAGACGGGGGCAGAGTGAACGCTTAGCCCCCGGCAATGCCAGCCATTGCAGGCTTGGTGCTGGCTGCACTGGGGGGATCTGGGCTGGGAGCAGGGCTGGGGGTGTGTGGTAGGGATATGGGGCAGGGGGTGGATAGGTGTGGGGGTACCATCTGCTCTGTGGGGGGGCGGTGTCCATGGGTGGCTGTGCTGGGGGGGGTGACTGTGAGGGATATGGGGTACGGGGAGGATGGGGAACATCAGGGGACTCTCATCTGCTCAGTGGGGGCTGTGCTGGGAGGGGATGTGGGGTGCATGGGAGGAATATGGGGTCCATGGCGCTCTCACCTGCTCTGTGTGGAGGTGTTGTCGGTGCCCGTGACAGGTTGTGATGGGGGGTGATGGGGCATAGTGGGTGGATAAAGAGTGTGTGGTGAAATATGGGGGACTTCTCACTAGTTTGGTGGGGAATTGGTCCCGGTGCCTGGCCATGCTGGGAGGTGGTGGGGCACAGCGGGGGATATGCAACATAGTGGTATCTGGGGAGTGGGGGGGCTTTCACTGGCACAGTGTGGAGCTGATGCCTGCACCTAGCCCAGTGGGTATGATATGGGGCACAGGGGGCTCTCACCTGCTCAGTGGGGGGGCGGGGGGGCGGGCCAGTGCCAGCACCTGGCCATGCTGGGGGAGTGGCATGGCTTGGGGGATTACAGGGTGTATCAGGGATATGGGCCATGGGGGGATGTCACCCGCTGATGCCTGTGTCTGGGTGCGCTGGGGGAACATGGAATGCTGGGGCTATGGGGCACGGGAGGGATACAGGGCAGGATATGGAGTCTGGGGGGGAATGGGGAGTGGTGAGATATGAGGTGGGGGCTGTCACCTGCTCAGTGAGGGTGGGGGTGTCAATGTCAGCATCTGGCCATACTGGGGGGTGATGGGCACGAGGGGGGGATATTGGGTGTGGGTGGATCTGGGATCTGGGGGGGCTCTCACCTGCTTGGTGGGGAACCGGTGCCCACGTCTGGGCATGAAGGGGGGATATGGGGCATGGATAAGGGGTGCGGAGAATATGGGGATACAGGGGATATGGAGCATATGGGGATACAAGTTATTGGAGCTCCCACCTGCCTCATGGGGGGCTGGTGCCCCTGCCTGAGCGTGCTGGGGGGTTACAGGATATGGAGGATACAGGGTGCAGGGTGATAGAGGGCACAGGGGAAATGGGGTGCGGGGTATATAGGGTGGGGGCTCTCACCTGCTTGGCTGGGGACTGGTGCCCACACCTGGCCATGCTGGGGGGATACGGGACACGGGGGATACAGGGTGCGAGGGGATAGAGGGCACAGGGGATACGGGGCAATAGAGGGCACAGACAGGGAAATGGTGTGCGGGGAGATACAAGGCGTGGGGTCTCACCTGCTCGGCCGGGGGCCGGTGCTCGCGCACCAGGGCACTCTGCTGGTTGGTGAGCAGCGCGGTGCGCACCTTGGCAAGGGCAGCATCGAGGCGCTGGCGTGCTAGGTTGAGGCGCTTGGCCTGCTCGTTGACCTCGGTGAGCGCCTGGCGCAGCCGGCTGACCACCAGGCGCACGGCACTGGCGTAGCGGGCAGCCAGCCCGTTGCTCTGGCTGGCGCAGTGGTCCCGGAAGCAGGGCAGGGGCAGCTGGCTCACCCAGGGTGGGGGCTTCATCTTGCTCTTCCACAGCGTGATGCCCGGCCCCTCGGGCGGCTTCTCCAGCGTCTCACCAGCCGCCGTCACGTCCAGCTTGAAGCGCCAGCCCTGCAGCCGTGTGCGGCGCTCGTAGGGTGTCTCCTGGGGCTGGCCTGAGGGGTGCGGTGGGCGCCACTGTGCCACCGCCTCCCGCCAGCAGCGCCCCCGCAGCTGCTGCGCCGCCCGCACCGTGGCCTTGGCCTCATTGCGCCAGGCCTCCGGGCCCGCCCGGCCCCGCAGCAGCTCAGCGGGGGGCCCCATGGCCGAGCTGGGGGGAAAAGAGGGGTCAGCACCTCCTGGCTTGAGGGACCCCTCTGACACAGACAGCCAGGGTCCTGAGCCCCGCCCCTTAACCCGTTCAAGGTGCCTTCTGGCCTGAGACCACCCAACTCAGGGTTACTCCAGCCCCACGGTGTGTGAATGGGTCTGACACAGGGCAGGGGATACTGGGCTGCCTAGGCCTATGGGTCAGATTCAGGGGCCAGGGAGAGATGGGGGATAAGGGGCTGGCTACCTGGTGGGTCAAATCTGGGGGCAGGGAGGGGTGGGGGGAATAGGGGACTGGCTGACCGCTGGGTCAGACCTCGGGGGCAGGGAGGGGCCGGGGACTAGGGGTCTGGCTGCTCCATGGTCAGAGCAGGGAGAAGTGAGGGCTAGGGGTCTGGCTGTCCTGTGGATCAGAGCTGGGGGTAGGAACGGGCAGGGGGCTGGAGGGTTGGCAGGCCTGTGGTCAGGGCAGGGAGAGGTGGGGGGATAGGGGCTGGCTGCCCCATGGTGGTTCTCCCTGCCTGCGAGGTGCTTTCCTGCCTGATGTGGGATCAGGCTGAACCGGGTTCCCTGTGCCCCACGGGTGGATGCCCCAGTGCCGGCGGCGCTGCCAGATCCCGAGGGCTCCTCCAGGGCACCCGCCTCCCTCCTCGCCTGCACCGCCTATCAGGGTCTGTGCCTCACCGTGGAGACGGTTGCCACGGCAGCGGGCACTCGCCTCACAATGCCCCTATTCCATGCGGTTGTATGTGGGGGGATCCGTCTCACGTGGCCTGGAGGGAAAAGGGGGGTGCCATGGGGGGATCAAACCCTCTGAGCCAGCGGGGAGCAGATGGATAGGATTTTGCCCCTGGTACGGGACCTGGTCCTGGTGGGGGAGCTGCGGGGCTGGGCATTTGTCTCTCCAGGGCAAGGGGTTGGAGTGACACCATAGTGAGGGTAAGGGTCTCACTACTGCTGCCAGCGGGGGGAGAGCTCCCGTGCACACAGTGCACAAGCAAGGACAGCCTGGGCTACCCTCCCCTAGTGCCCATAGCTGGGGAGAATGGGACTAGGGGGCAGAGAGCAATGCACTCTGGGAAGGGGGCTCCCACCGCCTGGCCAGCTGGGAGGCAGGAGGCCAGAGCCTGGTGCTCAGACGACCAGGGCTGGAGGATGCCCTGCTTGCCGCCAACGCCAGGCCTGGGCACACCATCACTGTGACATGCGACTGTGCAGACCCTCCATAGCAGGACCAGGTGCCGTGACCCAGGGGTTGGCCATGGCATTTGGGGCAAGTTGTGAGCCTGAACTGGGCCTGCTAGGGGTGGGCAGGAGAACAGCCCCTGGAGGTGACACACCCGCCCCCTTCTGCCAGCCCATCCCCCAGTGCTGGTGATGCCTCCGCCCGCACAACCCTGTCCTGATGGGATATGTTTAGGGATTATTGCGGGGCAGTTCTTCAGCCTGTTGTTCAGACTGGATCATGGGCACAGAGATCCCTTCTGGCCTGGGAATCTCTGAACCTACGACAGCCCTGTGCTACCCTTCCACCTGGCCGTGCAGGCCCAGGTCTGAGCTTTCTCCCTGGCTCTGCCTGTCCCACCCTGAGTCTCATCCTGGCTCCCTTCCCCCCCAGGTCCCCATCATCCCCTTGGTGAGGTCATCGTGCCGCAACTTCTTCAGCAAGAGGTTCACAGTGGGGGAGGAGGGCTGAAACCCTGGGATCAACCTCCTCCCATGTGGGGGCCCTACAGCCCCCCCTCCCCCCATCCCCGGCTCGCCTCTCCCCATCTCTCCCTCAGGGGAATGCACTGTCCAGATCCTCCTACAGAGGCCGACACAGGGGCTGGGCCCAGATGCCATCACTGAGCTCATAGAGTGCGCACAGGAGCCATGTTCATCACCTTCCAGGAGATATCGGGGCGGGGGGGGGGAATCAAGGGAAAAGAGGGCACCAAAGAGTGACACTCCTCCCTGACCCCAGCACCAGTCACTGACCTCCCCCGGCCTGGGCCCCAGCACCAGAACTCACGATTAAAGGCAATTGCATTGTGATTCCGAACGAAATGAGAGGACAAATCCTAAACCTCATCCCTGAAGGACATCAAGGATTGACTGTGAACAGGCCAACCAGTCGGCATGGTGGCCTGGCACCAGCAAGGACATATGCAATGAAGTATCTACATGTGAACATTGCAGAACTAACAGACCAACACAACACCTCTACCAGCCAGGCCTTGGAAGAGATTGGCTGCAGATTTATGCAGATTGAGAGGACCTGGTTGGCATGGACTATTTTTCCAGGTATATAGAAATAATGTACTTGAAAGTCACATCAGGTTACAGTGTTATCAAGAAACTGAAGTATGCTTTTGCTCAGTTCGCTGTTCCAGAACATCTAATGATAGACAACTGACCACAATTCACTGCAGCAGAATTCAAGTAATTCCAAATGAAATAGGATTTTGATCACATTACTAGCAGCCTAGATTACCCACAAGTGAGTGGAGAGGCTGAGCGAAATGTACAGACAAGCAAGAAAATCCGATAGCAGGAAGATCCATTCCTTGCTCTCCAGAGCTACAGATCAACACCAACAGCAGCTACTGGATGCAGTCCAGCACAACTCATGATGGGAAGACAACTCAGGTTCTTTTCCAAAGTCAGGACAGTAGTTCTATCTCGAAAGTGGCCAGAGATGAAGAGAGAAGCCAAATCGGATAAAAAGGCTAAAGAATTTTCAAACACTTTTACAGCAGACATCACTCAATTAGAGAACTGTCGGCGCTGGACTGTGTTGGTGTCAAACAGGATGGAGAACTCCAGTTTCATGAAGAAAAAGAATTCAATGCCCACATCGTATGTGATCGAGACTGACAGGGTGAGTTCAACAGGAACCATCGACATCTACAGTGTATACCTCAGAAAGAACAATTGGCAGAACAAACTCTACACACTAGAAGAGAGACACTCAAGGCTTCCAGACCGACCACAGCCATTCATTGCCACCAGTGGACAAGCAGATCATAGAATCATAGAATATCAGGGTTGGAAGGGACCTCAAGAGGTCATCTAGTCCAGCCCCCTGCTCAAAGCAGGACCAATTCCCAACTAAATCATCCCAGCCAGGGTTTTGTCAAGCCGGGCCTTAAAAACCTCCAAGGAAGGAGACTCCACCACCTCCCTAGGTAACGCATTCCAGTGTTTCACCACCCTCTTAGTGAAATAGTGTTTCCTAATATCCAACCTGGACCTCCCACACTGCAACTTGAGACCATTGCTCCTTGTTCTGTCATCTGCCACCACTGAGAACAGCCAAGCTCCATCCTCTTTGGAACCCCCCTTCAGGTAGTTGAAGGCTGTTATCAAATCCCCCCTCATTCTTCTCTTCTGGAGACTAAACAATCCCAGTTCCCTCAGCCTCTCCTCATAAGTCGTGCTCCAGACCCCTAATCATTTTTGTTGCCCTCCGTTGGACTCTTTCCAATTTTTCCACATCCTTCTTGTAGTGTGGGGCCCAAAACTGGACACAGTATTCCAGATGAGGCCTCACCAATGTCGAATAAAGGGGAACGATCACGTTCCTCGATCTGCTGGCAATGCCCCTACTTATACAGCCGAAAATGCCGTTAGCCTCCTTAGCAACAAGAGCACACTGTTGACTCATATCCAGCTTCTCATCCACTGTAACCCCTAGGTCCTTTTCTGCAGAACTGCTACCTAGCCATTCGGTCCCTAGTCTGTAGCAGTGCATGGGATTCTTCCGTCCTAAGTGCAGGACTCTGCACTTGTCCTTGTTGAACCTCATCAGTTTTTTTTTGGCCCAATCCTCTAATTTGTATAGGTCCCTCTGTATCCGATCCCTACCCTCCAGTGTATCTACCATGCCTCCTAGTTTAGTGTCATCTGCAAAGTTGCTGAGAGTGCAGTCCACACCATCCTCCAGATCATTAATAAATATATTAAACAAAACCGGCCCCAGGACCGACCCTTGGGGCACTCCGCTTGAAACCAGCTGCCAACTAGACATGGAGCCATTGATCACTACCCATTGAGCCCAACGATCTAGCCAGCTTTCTATCCACCTTACAGTCCATTCATCCAGCCCGTACTTCTTTAACTTGGCGGCAAGAATACTGTGGGAGACCGTATCAAAAGCTTTGCTAAAATCAAGGAATAACAC